GCACCGTGACTGGCTCGTCTCCTCCCCGAGACCCCTCTGCAAGGGCATCTCCAGTGGGTTCCAACTCATTCGGCTCCACTTCTGAAACCTCCTCTTTCTTGCCTTTTGCTCCACATCCAGCACTCCCAGCCTCATTTGGATCCACCTTTCTACCCAGGTTTCAATGCAATCCACCTCATTGTAGAGGCTCCCACCCAAAATGAGAGCTGAGTTTCACCAGTGGCAGTAAGTGAAAACCTTGGCAAAATGAGAGCCTCTGGAGTTCATTCACCAAATTTTCTGAGCCGGTGGCTCTCCTTGCTCCCCTCACTTGGCTTGGTCCCCTTAATTTTGTACCTTTCAGGAACTCTGTGCCCTCATTTTGTTGTTTGTTTTTCTGATGCTCCCTGGATTCCTCCTTGGAAGTTCACCATGCTCCAAAATGATCTCACAGATTTCTACTTCATCTTCTTATCCTTTTCCCCCAAATCAGCATTCCCCCTCCCATATGCCCTTTCTGTGGATTAATCAGATTGTTTTCCTAATGCGGAGACTTCTAGGGTGAGCCCCTCTCCCCTATTCTTTCTAGGACCACGTTTGCTTTTTTAACTCAAATGAATCCCTAATTCATAGATTTCTGATAGTATTACTGAGATCTTTTTGCTGAGGAATTACCTTTCATTAAGTCATTCCACTTAGACAATTTTAACTATAGATCTGATCCTGACAGATGGGAAGAAGAAATGGTTTTATAACCTGGTTAATTGAGTTCTTTGTCCCCAAGACTGGAAAGACAAACTGGCAAGAGCAAGAACTATTGGAGAGTTTTGAATCTGTAATTTTCCCCTCCTCCTGCAAGAGGAGTCACATAGCTCAGATGTGCCAGACATCAATAGAGGAAACCTATTTTGTTATCTAGGCTTCTGGTGCAGCAAACGGACATTGTGCACAGTGGTCTCCCTTCAGCTGACTCTGCCTTTTGAAGGTATGAATACATTGGCAGCAGACTGACAGCAGAAAGACTAGGTGTTCCAACAGAGAGGCTAACAAAGAATGATACAGAAAAGGGAATGTTAAGGAGAGGTTTTGGGTTCCTAACGTTGAGAATAGAGATACATCACTTGTATCCCCTTGGATGTAGATATCAAATACCTTCAAAAGAGTCTCAGGGAAAGTTTCACTTCCTCTTCCTTGCCATTTATAAGAAACCACAATTTATAGATTCTGAAATATGTGTGAGATACATATTTAGAAACTATATTACTAACTGAAGTGTGAGGCCATTGCTCAGGTAACACGGTGTTCTACTTCAAATTTGAAAAACAAAACTCACAAAGAATATTAGAAGCAATATTGTCCAATTTGTCTAT